ATCTCGTACATGTCCATGAGCATGTATTCGTGCATGATTCGAAACGATGCCGCGTCGGGCCGCCTGGCGGATCCCAAGAAGTACCGTTCTCGAGACGCACGATATGGGTCGTCTTCGTCGCAGAATATGGATGCATCCTGTCGGACCATGGAGATCGCATGATCGCGCACGAAGTCCATCATGCTGCTCACCAGGGACTCGACGTGCCAGTATTCGAGGCGGAACGGTGAGAAGTGTGCGGCTACGATGGATTTGAGTTCCTCGTACACGTCGTGAAACTGCTCTGAGCACTCTATCGAATGATACTCCTTCACGTTGCTCAGAAACGTCGTCGAATACACGGTGGTCATGCCCGTCTGGGTGAGCGAGTACGGCGATGCCATCCTGTCCGGCCTTACTCTCTTCTCCTCCTTTTTCGATGGGCGGCGAACGCACCCGCACTACCTTCTCCTTCTCTTGGAAGACGACGATGAGACCTCCTCTTCTTCGTCACCTTCGGCTTCTCCCTCTCCGTACTCCTCCGCCGCTTCGTGCCCTCCCTCTTGGGCCGCCCCCTGGCCGTTCTCCCTGGACGCCTTGGCCTTGTTGCGTCGGATGGAGGGCTTCGTCGTCACCCCGCGCTTCTCCATGATGTAGTGGGCTATCTGGTCCGCCTTCGCCGCCGAGGAGGAGTCTCCGTTCTCCTTGAAGTACTTCCCCAGAAGGTCGTTCAGGACCTCCTCGCTCAGCGCTTCCTTCGATTTGGTGTGGATCAGCTTCACCCTCTCGCCGCTTATGTTGACGGTGCCATCTCATGCGCGCTCATGTACGTCATGATGCCCTCCTTCAGCTCCTTGATCCTCTTGATCATCTTAGAGATGTCCTTTGCAGCCTGAGCCTTCACGTCGTTCAGATGCACCCACTCCCGAACCTGGTCGGTGAAGGTCGCCGATATCTGGATGTCCGCCATTTCTGAGATCGGGCGCTAGAATATTTTGCCCCCCCGAGACGCACCGGCACGCGCTCTTGTTGTCTCGATGGGCCCGAGCCTCCCTTCCTTATGCCTCGACGTCGGCGGCGGCGAAAAAATCTGCGGGTAGACTATGCTATGGTATTAAAATCCGCTGCATTCGCCTTTTGGGCGTTGAGTACGCTGGCCTGCCTCGCGTCCCCGGGTGCCGCCGCCGACCAGGCCTTCTCCTGGGGCATCTCGGACGAGACCGTCCGTTTTGCGGGGCACGACTGGTTCGTGAAGGACTCCACTTCCGTCCCTCTTCAGCCCGGGCCGTGCTTCTGGAGCCCCACGAACGTGCGGAGCGACGCCACAGGCTTGCACCTGAGCGTGGACAAGGTTTCCTCGGGCGCCTGGATGTCGAGCGAGGTCATGATCGACACGAGCTTCGGCTATGGCAGGTACGAGATAGAGGTCGACAATCCGCTGGCTTCGCACGACGCAAACATCATCTTCGCGGCCTTTATCTGGGATGAGACGAACGGCGCTCAGTACAACGGCGAGATCGACATAATCGAGGCGTCTCGCTTCGGCGACCCGTACAATCCGTTCAACGCGCAACAAGTCATCGCGCCTTGGAACTTAGAAGGCCGCATCAACAGGTTTGCCATTCCGGACGGCACGCCCAACGCCATCCTCGCGGTGGATTGGACCTCCTCCGACATCGTCTTCCGCGTGAGCTGCCCTCAGACGGGCTACGCGGCGTCGTGGTCGCCTGCCGATAAAACCATAATCCCCAAGCCGACGGGCTTCGAACGCTTGCACCTCAATGCGTGGCAGAACTTCGGGGAGGGGCCGAGAAACGGCGAGCCCGTCACTTTCGACGTGACCTCCTTCTCCTTCTCCCCGTCCATCGGGTCCTCCGTGGTAGTATTGCCCACGAACGCCACCTCTCCCGTTCCCGCCCCCTCCGAAGGCCCGCTCAATGCGTCCGTCGCTCCTTCGAATGCGCCCGTCGCGCTTTTGAATGCATCCGCCCCTTCGATTGTGCCGGCCCCCGTAGACTCCACGAGTGCACCGACCGCGGTCCCCACGGCGCCCCCGTCTGCCGTCGTGCCAACCACCCCGACGAGGACTCCCACGCCCATCGTGCTTGCCAACAGCCCGCTCCCGTCGATCATCCCGAGCCTGACGACCCTCGTGGGCTCGGCAGCGGGCATGTCCGAAGCATTCACATCGGCGGGCATCGTCTCCTCATTGCTGGTGTTGCTGTGGTGATCTAAAGCTCGATGCTGATCTTGGAGGAGCCTTCGAAGTAGAGCCCATCTAAACAGCTATCCAGCTTCCACCAGCGCGAAGGCAAGGCCACGAGCTTGCCCTCATTCTCGTTCAAGTAAGCACCAAACCACGAGAAGGTCGAGTTGGCGCAGATGCCACCGTGCCGGCAGAACGTCATGAGGTACAGAGTGTCCACCTCGTTCAGGCCCTCGACGAAAACCGCGTCGTCGAAGGCTTGGAAGGTCTCTCCTCTCTTGCAGTGCTCGATGTCGTCGCTGATGACGAACAGCCGAAATCCGACCGGTAGCCTCTCCGTAGCCGCCTTTAACGCCCTGTCGTAGTAAGCGCGCAGATCCAAGTCGTGCACGGAGTGGGCGGGGCTCTTGTAGTCTCCGCGCCTGACGTGCACGAAGAGACCTCTGGTCAGCGCATCCGGATGAAGACTCTCTATCCGGCTCCTCGCGGCGGGGATCCCGAGCATCCTGTTGATATCGTGACGGTCGAAGACGTCCTCGAACTGGTGGTGACTTTGGAAGTAGCCGACGTAGAGAACACCCTCCACTCCGGTGCCGAAGGGCGAGCCGTACCTGACCGGCTTCCAGACATCATCCGGCTTCTCGCGGATGACTCGATCGATCCGGCCGCCGGGCCCGAGAAAAGAACGGAAGCAGGCGAAGATGCCCTGATAATAGTCTACTTTCGAATGGGGGTTTTCCGAAGCGGACGTTATCCGGAAGTCGGCTCCACAGCGCCGGGCCTGAGCGAGACCGAATAGCAACTGGAACAGCCGGTTTCCGAGACCCCCTTGGACGTGAACGCTCACGAAGGGCATCGGCTCCTCATGAGAGGTGACGGGGTAAAAATAACGGCGGTCTCCCGCCTTTCGCGTTCCGGATGCTTCGATTTTCCGCCCCAATGGCAGAAATGGGCGACGGTCTGGGGGACGCCACCGCCATTCTCGCTCTCAGGATCGACACCGACGACAGGCTCCGAAACACGTCGCGCTGCCTGAGGTATCTGCTGTCGAATTTTGGCGATATCCGTGTGATCATCCTGGAGGACGGCGCGAAACCTCGAGTGGGTGAGATTTTGACGGAGAGAGACGTGGCGCCGCACAAGGAGAGGGTTAGTTACTCCTTCGTCGAAGAGCATTCGAAGATCTTTCACCGGACCAAGCGTCTCAACCAGTGCCTCAAGAAGGTCGAGACACCGATCGCGATCATTCACGACGTCGACGTGATTCTGCCCGTCGCCAGCATGCTCGAGGCGCGACGGATGATCGCCGAAGATGGCTATGGTGCGGTGACGCCGTTCAGCAACCCTCCCGGATGCACGGACGTTCCTCAGAAAGACGCGGACGCGCTTGCGACGGACTCGACGTCCCACGAGCGACTGGTCAAGGTTTGTCGGAACCATGTTGCGGGGAACGGTTTCAGCCTCTTCGTAGCCACGAGGGCGTACGCCGACCGCGGAGGGGAGAACGAGGATTTTGTGTCTTACGGCCCCGAAGACGATGCGCGCCTCTACAGCCACACCAGGCTCGGCCTGAAGTATGGGAGGGTAAAGGGAAGGGTGTTCCATATGGAGCACCAAAGGGGCATGAACAGCTCTCCATCGAACCCCATGTTCTCCCACAATGTGAGGGTTTTCCAGCGCATCAAAGACATGGATCTTCCCCAGCTCGAGCGTCACTTTGAGAAACGCAAGGTCGTACTGGACCGCTCGCCCCCGGAGGCGGGAACCGCGATCGGGAGCGGTTGAGGCTCCACTTTTTCCTGGCGCGACTGACAGGGATGTTACGGGAGAGGATGTCGGGGACGAAAGATACGGAATTGATCCCGATGCAGACCGAGCGGGCGCCACCCCTCTCAGAACTCTTGTGTGCCGCGGCCGAATGCGTACGTACCGACAATTTGGTGGATGTCGTTTCGGGGAGGAACACGCCTTTGACGCTGCACAAGGCGCAGTTCGCGAACACTGCAGCATACGCGGACCTCGTGGAAGTGTTGAAACGCCTGTTTGAAGCTTCGAGCGAAGAGGCGGCGCTTCATCCGGAGGGCTGGTGTCCTAGATGTGGGCTGACATTGGAGGCATTCCAGAGGATGCTGAGCTGTAGGAATATGACTGTCGTGATTTATAGGGACGGGTCCGAGAAGACTAGCACGAGCAGCGTGACGTGCGATTTCGAAAAGGATTCGTGTAGCGTGGACGTCGAGGCTGATGATGATGGGACGGCGAGGATCAAAAAGCTATGCGCGTGCTAAGAGATACCCCCCGGAAATATCGTTGCACCTAGAGTATAACAATTATGGCAAAATGTGGCGGAAAGACGGCCTTCGGCGGGAGTTGCCGCAGAAAGGTAGCGTCAGGTCAGAAACGCTGCTACCAGCACACGAAAGCCGGCAGCAGCCTCCCGAAGCACATCACCCTGCGAAACCACCCCTCGAACGCCAATCGCGTACACCAGCTGACCGAGAGATTGCTAACCAAGGGTCTGACCGTGGCAGAAAAGAATGAGCTGAAGCTTCGCGTGAGGTTGAGAGATAACCTCATGAAAGATATATTTAATAGTGCTTGACACAATGGCTCCGTTTCACGGTAGGATCGTTCTTTTTATCCCTTCTCTATCTCAGAAACGCCTTCAAGTGCGTTCCTTCCTGGATATAAATATGGTGGCCTGTCTAGTACGGCAGCATCTATGACTGGGCTTAAGATTCAGATTGTGTCCGATCTCCATTTCGAATTGATCCCAGATAATGCTCCGCAGATTCCAGTCACCGCTCCGCACATTGCCTTGTTGGGCGATATTGGACGAGGCAATAGCAAGAAGTACGGTGAATTCGTGAAGGATCTATCGACAAAGTATACTACGGTTCTTCTCGTTTCCGGCAATCATGAATATTACAACGATGATTACAGTGCGGTCAACGAAACACTTGCGAAGCTCGCTGATGTATACCCTAATGTGTCGTTCCTGAATCGCACGGGCGTCGAGATAGATGGTATCAAAGTCATTGGTTGTACGCTCTGGAGTCGTGTCCCTCCTGCGTGTCAGCGTGTCGTTCAAGCGACGTTGAACGATTATCGGCTGATTTTTACAGAAGACGTTTTCGGGAACCAGAGGCCCTTGACAGTAGACGACACGAACGAATTCCATGCAATCGATCGACGATTCCTCGAGGACGAAATCGAGAAGTCGCGCAATGATCGTCAGAGCACGTTGGTCCTGACGCATCACGCACCGTCTATGGTTGGGACATCAAGCCCGCAGTTCGAAGGTTTGCCCACTAATCACGGATTTGCTACTGATATGAAGGATCTCATGGGCCCTCCGGTAGTTGCTTGGGCCTACGGGCACACGCACTTCAACGCCCCTTCATCCCGAGGGTTGGATGTTGGAGGAACCATGCTCATATCAAATCAGAAAGGCTACAGTCGAGAGAAGGTCGGGAGGCCGTTCGATCCCGGTGCGTATTTGTACGTGGGGAGTACGCGAGCAACATGGATACCGCTTGCTGATAAAGAGATCATCATCAGCTATTCGTCGAACGAGTGGAACGAGCGGTGTGGGGTATAAGGACGCACCGGGGGGAGGATATGTCAAAGTCCTGACTCACTTCTTCCCCCCAGACATTTAATGAATGTCGCAAGCAAGGAGTGAGCGAGCTTGCAACAGCTTGAGGGTCGCCGAAGCCGAAGCCGAAGCCGCGTTTTCATAATGAACATAAAGTTCTTAGGATAAGGTCAGCACCATGGCACAACTAGCTCCCCATGGCACAACTAGCTCCCAATAAGCAAAGATATCATCAGCAGATCATCTCGGAGATGTTGAACATGCTGAGAACAATGCCTATCACCCACACGACCGACAAACACATTGACATATGTTGGCATACCAATGGTCATTCAATCACATTGCACTCACAATCGGATGATGCCATGAACTACCACATTCATGCGGCGGTGTACAAAGAGATGGAAGTTGATTTCAGCAACAAAAAACACCAACGCTATATGTGCGGATTTTACCGTTCAGGAAATGATGAAATAATTGGTCCAATTCATCCTCCGTACTAATAGCCTTTACGTATCTTCGTCACCTGCTGCGGCAGCCACCTGAGGAACCGCTTGGGCCATCTCGCCATCTTCCTTCATATCCTCGTCACCTGCTGCGGCAGCCGCCTTAGGAACTACTTGGGCCATCTCGGAAAGACTATCTTTGGAAGACTCGGCACTGCCACTCAAGACTCTTTGACGAACAGTGCACCTACAAAATGCGGACTTTCTCACAAACTTCTTTCATTCTGTGTCTTTCAAGGCGGCGAGATGGTCTGCGACAAGAAGTGCGGACGGCGCTGGTTCGGGTACGTCAAAGGGAAGGCGGAATTCTGCCGCGGTCACAAGCGAGATGACATGGTTCTGGTCTACGGTCTGTGCACGACGGAGGGGTGTATGACGCGAGCCTCTTTCGGCGCGGCGAAGAAGAAGACCCACTGCGGCGCTCATGCGACGGACGACATGCGCAGGGTGGATCAGACGCGTTCGTGCCCTGCACCCGGTTGCAAGAAGGCGCCAACGCACAGCCTACCCGGCGAAGCAGCGTCGCACTGCGGGACTCATGCAACGCAAGAAATGACCAAGCGCTACACCACCAAGGACTGTCAGGCCCAAGGTTGTGAGAAAGAGGCTACTTTCGGAGCCCCCGGGGAGGGTGGGCGATTCTGTGCGGCCCACAAGACTGCCGGAATGGCGCCTACGAAGGGCTTAAAGTGCGAGGTATGCGACAAGCGGGCGAGTTTCGGTGGCACAGGTCAAAAAGCATCCCGCTGCAAGGAACATAAGACAGACGGCATGGTGAACGTTAATTACGCGACGTGCACCACGGTGGGTTGTGCTAAAGGCAGGTCACACGGTCCTAAGGGGGGCGAGCCGTTGTTCTGCAGCGCACATGCGGGGCTGGATATGGTCAACCTCAGGGAGAAGCTGTGTGCGGCGGAGGGTTGCTCTGTGGAGCCGGTTTTCGGGTTTCCAGAGGGTGAGCGCACGGTGTGCAAGAAGCACAAAGACGAGGGCATGGTGAATCTCAAGAAGAAGTGCTGTGCGGCGGACGGCTGCACACTGACGGCGACATTCGGACCGCCTGGCGGAACAGCTCGATGGTGCCTAGCGCATTCAGATACTAGTATGGAGAATCTCAGAAGTAAGAAGTGCGAGTACGATGGGTGTACACATCAGGCTGCATACGGTCTTCCTGGAACGTCACCGACGCGGTGCGGGATGCATATGCAGAGCGGTTTCTTGAACCGGTGTCTGAATCCATGTGCCTCGTGCGGCTTGATGTATCAGATTCCGAAGAATAGTCTCTGCATGTACTGCGAGCCCGAGAGCAAGCTCCGGTCGGAGACGAGGGAAGCCGTCGTGGCGGAGTTTCTCGAGGGGACGTTCCCCGACACGCCGTACAGACGCAACCAACGGCTTCCGGATAGGTTCTGTGTCGATGACCGTCATCGACCCGACTTCCTTTTCGACATGGGCACGCATCTGGTCGTCTTGGAGGTCGACCAGAATCAACACAAGAGCTACGCGGAGGAGTGCGAGCTGGTCAGGATGCACGCGATCGTCGAGACGAGCGGAATGCCCGTGCGCTTTATTCGCTACAATCCGGATGGCTTCAAGATGAAGGGACGCGAGAAGGAGGTGGCGCGAGAGGAGAGACACGGGGTTCTTGCACGAGAGCTGAAGAGTGCATTCGAGGATACGGATGAGACCAATAGGATGAGCGTCAAGAATCTGTTCTACGATACGCGCACTGTTGATGCATACGTTCAGGATGTGTCGGAGGAAGTAGGCACGACTATAGACAATATGATCAAATGTGGTGTCATCACGCTAGCACGAGCTTAGCACATCGCACAAAAAAGCTAAACCACTCCAAATATGTACAGTTTGTCTATTTAATGTTCATATTTTGAATCACTCTTCTAAATGCCACAGATGACCCTTCACTATTGATCCTGTCTGGATGGCTCTCTTGAGCGAAGCGCGTGCGATGCACATCTTACTCTGCACATGCGCTACGGAACTGAACCGCTTTAATACCTGTCCGGATATGGGATGCACCTGAAGGACCACCTGTCCGTTCGCCCTCTTACGCGGATTCGGAAGCTCGTTTGTCAGAAGGTACTGCAACTTGAGCTCCTCGGAACAGTCGTGCCACATCTCGAAGTAATGCCCCCCGGATTTGCGGTGTAGCTTGATGGCGGTGCTGATCGCGCCTATGCTCTTGAACTGACGGTCCGCCGCTGCCGCTTTCATGTCCTCGAACACTTTCACGATCCGATTCTCGCTGAGGTCTAGCATCGCCACAAAGCCTTGCTTGTTTGACCTGGACTCGACCGTCTCCCCGATATCCTGCACGATGGTGTCTGGCAGGCCTCTGTCCAGCATCGCCCAACGGAACTGCTTGTAGAGGGTCCTCTTCTCCGATGCCGTCCTGATCAGCTGAGCGTTTGGTTTGGCCACGTCGGGGTCTCGAGAAGCTTCCGCGCAGCCAGAATAGGTCCTGATGAGCTCCTTGCCGTCTGGCGAATACCGCTGCACCTTTGAACCCCGTGACTGCGTGAATCTCCTGTCGTCCGGAACGTAGAAGTATGGGTCCGGCCAAGGAAGAGGGAGACCCTGAGCTTGAGCCTCCAAAATGCTGGTCTTGTATTTAGTCAACTCGTATTCCACGATCTGCTCGACGGTCGCCCGGTCGTTGTAAGCCGCCGCATGTCGCTTGGCGAGAGCCACCGCGTCGGTGACCTCATTCGGGGTCATGAGGAAAACCTCTCGATTGGACGCGCGACCGTTGTGGATGACTTCCTTGAAGACATGCTTCGCGATGCTCGGGTGGGTTTGCAGGAACTCCTCGAACTGGCGAAAGAGTGATACAGGGAACGCCTGGAAGATGAGCATGGAGCCGAACGTCTTTTCCAGTCCGATCGCTCTCTCGTGCAGGTCCTTCGTGCTTCCGATCTTCATGAGAACGCGACCGTCTGGTTCTTCTCGGATCTTGCCGAAGTAAACCAGGCAGTCCCCCTTCCTGTGCGAGTTCACGAAGACCTCGTGCTTCGCAACCTCGGTCGCCGTCTTTGCCGTCTTCCTAGAGAGCTCCGCCTGCTCATTCAAGAGCTGGTCGATCTTTGCCCGAGCGAGCGCCTCTTGTCTTTTCAGCTCCGCCTTTGCGGCCTCGACCTGCTGCTCGAGATCGTACCTCCCGCGGGTCCTGATCTGCTCGATGACGCCGGCTACCCACTTTTGAAATGGGCGTGCTATCGGCTTCCGGGATTGCATGAGCAGGCGGTACACTCCCCGTTCGGTTGAGAATATAGTCTCTTGTGCTCCACCAAGGGTGTGCGCTATCTGCACGACCTTTTCGTCGTTGTCATACGAGCGCGTCGATGACCGTACGGTCGACATATCTAGCACGGCTCCGATGTCGGACGCTCTGAATAGCGGAACCTGCCCACTCCAGACGATCTCGATTCGATACCGTTTGCCATCCTTGACGAAAGCGTTGAGCACGTCCAGCTCCGGTATGCTCGACGAAAGAACATTACAGTCTCTTGGGCGGTCACCGATTTCCATATCGTCGTTACTCTCGTCCGAGGAATATTTGGCGATGTACGAAACGCACGAGGCACGTGAGGTTCTCCAGTATTGGGGGTACGATTGATGTCATTTTCGGACCCATGTGCGTTTCCTTATGCGTGTCCTCATAAAAATGCCACCTCTGGTTTTAATAAGAAAATGAGAGTGCAATGGGCGCCCCTCGGGCAACATGCGAGATTGGGATAAAGGAGGAGAACATATGCCGTCAATCGAATCTTCAAGGGAACGTCCCACGGTCGGGCGCGTTCTCATGAACATGCGCGATGACGAAATATTTTCTGTGCGTATGGTATCAGCCTTCGCCCCCGCGCAGTCATGTCTGGAGGGTTGTTGTCTCTCGTTGCCTTAGGCGCCCAGGACAGTTACCTTACGGGCACCCCCCAGATCACGTTTTTCCGAGTGGTTTACCGTCGTCACACCAACTTCGCGGTGGAGTCGATCGTGCAGACGGCGAACGGGCAGATGGATTTCTCGAAGCGCACCAGCATCAACCTGAGCAGGAACGGCGATCTGATCACCAACGCCTGGCTGCAGGTGACGCTGCCGGCGCTGGACCAGCGCGTGGTGGTGGGGGGTTCGACGTCGACGTACGTGCATTACGTCAACTCGGTGGGCCACGCCATGCTGAAGTCGGTCGAGATCGACATCGGCGGGCAGAAGGTGGACAAGCACTTCGACGCCTTCTACGAGGTGATGGACGAGCTGGAGGTGCCGTCCGAGAAGAGGGCCGGCCTGAACGAGATGCTGGGCCGGTACGACGAGCTGGACACGTCCACCACGGGCAACCTGGTGAACCAGAGCGGGCAGAGGACCTACTACGTGCCGCTGCGGTTCTGGTGGAACAAGCTGCCGGGTCAGGCCCTGCCCTTGCTCGCGCTCATGTACCACGACGTGCGCATCAACATCGAGTTCCGGAGCGCCCTGGAGCTAGTGAAGTCCGACGTGGCGCTGACCCAGCCCACGAGCGGCGGCGCGCCGCTGAGCTTCATCGACGCCTCCCTGTGGGTGGATTATGTCTATTGCGATGCAGCTGAAAGGAAGCGCTTTGCGGGCGATGCGCACGAATATCTTATAGAGCAGGTGCAATTCACGGGCGACGAGTCCATCCCCGCCAGCGTCTCGTCGAGCACGCAGAAGATCCGCCTCGCGTTCAACCACCCCGTCAAGGAGCTCATCTGGGTCGTCACGCCCGAGACCTCCGCCGCGGTGGACGCCAAGAACGGCAACATGCTCTTCGACTTCGGCCAGATCGCCGGCGTAGACTACATCCAGAGCGCGAAGCTCATGCTCAACGGGCACGACAGGTACACGGAGAGGCCCGGAACCTACCACCGCCTCGTCCAGCCGTACCAGCACCACCCGCGCGTCCCCAGCAGGCCCGTCTACGTCTATTCTTTCGCGCTCGAGGCGTCGTCTCATCAACCGAGTGGCGCGACTAACTTCAGCAGGATCGACAACGCACAGCTGTACCTCACCACCAGGCCCAACATGCCCGCAGCCCGCGTGAAGGTCCTGGCCATCAACTACAACGTCTTCCGTATACAGGGCGGGATGGGTGGTCTGGCTTACTGCAGCTGAGGATGTGTGGATGGTCTTTGTCACATGTTCGTTATTAGCAGCATGTCGTCCATCATCATCATCCATGCATATGTCGTTTTTCTAGCATGAACATGAATACTCTGGCATCTCATCTGTTCGTTACATCGGCGAACATGTGGGAGGATCGCGAATATCGTGTATGGTTCAATCAGCCTTGGAAACTACATAAATCGTCCTCTTCAGTTCGGGAAGGTTTGCTTTCACTTGCGGCGCTCTTCCTGCAATGAGGTCCACTCTCGCTCGAAATTCATCTATGTCTGCTTTCTTCTTCATCGAGTTACACTCCCCACAGCAGGCACGCATGTTTCCTTCTACGTAGCCCTTGGTGTTGTCCACCCTGTCTATGCCATTCCTACGAGTACCGTCGCCCACGTTACCGCATATGTAGCAAGATTCCGCCACGATCTCCAAGAATCGCCGCGTGGTGAGGCCGAACTCCAACCCCTTTCTAAAAGCTCTCTCGCGGTACCCGTCGTACGTTGCCCCCTGATGCGATCCAAATATATGGGCGGGGTACTCGGACGCCCCTCCACCGGAGAACGCGGAGATATGCTCGCACCGCTCTAGGAAGGTGAGCGCGTCAAGGGACCCCTTCATTCTGATGCACTCTGTACACACCGAGCGACAATTGTCCGCCGTGTACCCTGCGCCTATCTCCAGACGCCCGATCCCCATCAGCTTGTCGACCGGGGGTGCCTCGCCACAATAGAAGCAAACCCCTTCCAGCATTTCAACGACCTCCTCGTCTGTCAGCGTGTCAATGCTTTCGTTCAGGGTGGCGCGAGTACGATGAGCGCACTTCTTCAGGTTGACGCGGTTCTTGACGGCATTGGCCTGCACCATATCTGGATTACGGTCTCTCCACGCCTTCGCCGCAGCGGCTGCTTGTGCACGATACCCTACGGGATCCTCGGCCAGCCTCCGCGCGCGGAAATCCTTCCAGTACTGCGCGTGTCTTTCGGGATCCGCAGCGTACCGTGCCCGCTTATTTGCCCGCCGTTCGTCGGATAGCTCGTACCTACGTCGCCACTCCAAGTAAGATTCGTTCCGGACGCGCTTTCCCTCCGGCTTCTGTTTGAAGACCCCCTCCCGCTTCTCGCGGCAGCTCTTGCAATACGCTCCTTTGGTCGCGTGGCTCAACGCGTGTTCGTCGAACTCGCTCGCGTCCTTCGGCTCCTTGCAGTGGTTGCACACCACCTGCCCCGGCCGTAGACTCGCCACCGCCGCCGCCTCCCTCCTGGCGTCGACCTTCTTGTCCTTCTCCGCGTTCATCCTCTTGCACGCCTTGCAGCAGGACTTGTCGTCCGCGTCCAGCATCCCCAAGCACCCCCGCTTGACATGAGTCGCTAACTGCTTGCACTCTCGTCCGCCGGCGGCAGCGACCTCATCCTTGCGCTCCCACAGCACCTTGTGCTTGTTGCAATACTTGCTCGGCAGGTTGGGCTTGAAGGTGCAAGGCGCTTTGGTCGACTCGATGACGGCGGCGCAAGGGGACCCGGCCATGTCGGCCTCTGGTGGTTCTGATGAGAATCTGGCGAGCATCCCGAGTTTTATACCGCGGTATGAGGGAGACTTCCACGAAGAGTCCGTCGACAATCCGTCGACAACTCCCGTGAGGTGGAATATTATGTTCGTTATCAAATACGAGACGTACCATGATCTACAGGAACGACCCCAAGCGGAAAGCGCCCGCCCTGTCCGCCACCAGCGCGTCGATCGGAACCCGGATGCGGGGACAGGACGGCAAGATGCACGTGGTGGTCGCGAACTGCCACGGCGTCCACCGCTGGAAGGCCCTCTCGACGGGCGAGTCTTCCAAGAAGCGCACTCCTTCTGCCAAGTCTGCGAAGCGCAAGACGCCGAAGGCTGGGAGTGTCGTGCGCAAAAGGAGCGCACCGGCCCTACCCGCGCGCGAGTTCTCGGATGGGACGACGCGAAAGGGCGCCGACAATCGGTTATGGGCGGTCAAGCGGACCAAGACCGGCCAT